GGCTCTGTCTCAAAAAAAAAAAAATTGTAATTGAATAGCTAAAAAGATCATCCAAGGACAGGGTACAGTGACTCATGCCTGTAATCCCAGCACTCTAGGCGTTAAGCTCAGGAGTTAAAGATTAGCCTCAGCAAAGGCGAGACCCCAGTATCTAAAAACAGCCAGGTGTTGTAGTGGGTGCCTATAGTCCCAGCTACTGGCGAGGTTTAGGCAAGAGAATCAGCTGAGCCCAAGAGTTTGAAGAGGCTGTGAGCTATGCCACCACTGCACTCTACCAAGGGTGACAAAGTGAGACTCTTGTCTCAATAAAAAAATTTAAAAAAAAATTAAAATCAGAGATTCTTGACTTGGGTGCTAAAAACTTTTCTTTTCTTTCTGTCTTTATTTAATTTAATTTATTTTATTTTGTTAATTTCTTTTTTTTTTTTTTGAGACATAGTCTCACTTTGCTGCCTGCCCTAGAATGCCATTGTATCACAGCGCACAGCAATCACTCTTGGGCTCAAGCAATCTTCCTGCCTCAGCCTCCCAAGGAGCTGCATCTACCACCACCCCCAGCTAATTCTTCTTTTTTTTTTTTTGTAGAGGTGGAGTCTTGCCATATTGCTCAAGCTGGTTTTAAACTCTTGACATCAAGCGATGCTTCTGCCTCAGCCTCCCAAAATGGTAGGATTCTGAATGTTACCCACTGTGCCCAGCCACACTAATAACATTTTAAGCAAAATAACTCTGTTGTGTAGGACTGTTTATGCACTATAGGACATTTAGCCACATCCCTAGTGTCTATTCAAAAAATACCAGTTACATGACCTCCCTTCCTCTCTGCTGTGTGTTTTTACAGCAAAAATGTCTCCAGATACTGCCAAACATCCAAGGGTTGGGGAGATCAAAATCACCACCATTACAACCTCTGGTTTAGAGGAAATACCCATTTAAACACAACTATAAAGATGCAATCAGACAAATCCAGATAGGATATTCTTTATATAGCCTCCCTACTCAAAATGTGGTACAAAGAGACCCATAATAAGTTATGTATGTAAACATAGGAACTCGTTACCAAGCAGAATCTCAAGCCTGTCCCACGTCTCCTGAACTGACTAAAATCAGCATTTTTAAAAGATCCTGGTCAGAAGTGGAATCCTCAGGGAGTGATTCATATGCAGCTAAAGTTTGAGATGTACACTTCTACCAGACTACTGACACGGATTCTTCAACAAGTCAATAGTTAGGAGGTACAAAGGAAGGAGGAAGTTGTCTTAGATTTTGAATTAAGAATCAGACAATGCGGCGCCCCTGTGGCTCAGTGAGTAGGGTGCCGGCCCCACATACCGTGCATGGGTGGCAAGTTCAAACCCGGCCCTGGCCAAACTGCAACAAAAACATAGACCAGCGTTGTGGTGGGCTCCTAAAGTCCCAGCTACTCAGTAGGCTGAGGCAAGAGAATCGCCTAAGCCCAAGAGCTGGAGGTTGCTGTGAGTTGTGACGCCACAGCATTCTACCAAGGGCAACATAGTAAGATTCTGCCTCAACAACAACAACGACAACAAAAAGAATCAGACAAAACATAGAAAGTTGTTTTGGGGGACAATTAAGTAAATATGAATATGTATTAGACATCAGACGATATTATATAATCATTATTAATTTTATTAAGTGAAATGATGATATTGTGGTTACATATTAAAATGCCCTTTTGATAGAGATAGAAATAAAACGTTATGGTATCTATAATTTGTAAAACAAAATTCAGTCAAAAAAAAAATCAAATATGGCAAAATAATAACTGTTAAATCCAGGTATTGGGTATATCAATTCATTACAATATTCATTCATTTTGTGCATGTTGAAATTTTTCACAATAAAACATTTAGAAGACCTAAATGAAATGTGGCATTCTGGATTCGATCATATAAGCTCATGGGTGAAAAAACTCGTGAAATGTAAAAAAAAGTCTGAATGTAATAATGTACCAATGTAAATGTAAAAAAGTCTGTTAGTAATAATGTACCAACCCTAATCTACTTTTGACCAATGTAACTTGGTTATGAAATGTTAATATTAGAGAAAATAGGGCAAAAGGTATATGGGAATGCTCTGTTCTATCTTTGCAAATTCCCTGTGAATCTATAGTTATTCCATAAGACTAAGTACAGTGGCTCATACCCATAATCCTAGCACTCTGGAAGGCCAAGGTGGGTGGATCACTTGAGCTCATGAGTTTAAGACCAGCCTAAGAAAGAGTAAGACCCCATCTCTGAGAAAAATAGCCAGGCATTGTGGTGGGCAACTGTAGTCCCAGCTACTTGAGAAGCTGAGGCAGGAGAACTGCTTAAGCCCAAGAGTTTGAGGTTGCTATGAGCAGTGATGCCATGATACTCTACTCAGGGCAACATAGTAAGACTCTGTCTCGGCTCGGCGCCAATAGCTCAACCGGCTAAGGTGCCAGCCACGTACACCTAAGGTGGCGGGTTCGAATCCCCAGCCCGGACCCACCAAACAACAATGACGGCTGCAACCAAAAAATAGCCGGGCGTTGTGGTGGGCGCCTGTGGTCCCAGCTACTTGGGAGGCGGAGGCAAGAGACTCGCTTGAGCCCAGGAGTTGGAGGTTGCTGTGAGCTGTAATGCCACAGCACTCTACCCAGGGGGACAGCTTGAGGCTCTGACTCCAAAAAAAAAAAAAAAAAAAGACTCTGTCTCAACAAAAAAAATAAAAATGAAAATGAAACTATTGGGTGGCGCCTGTGGCTCAAGGAATAGGGCACCAGCCCCATATACCGGGGTGGCAGGTTCAAGGCCAGCCCCGGCCAAAACTGCAAAAAATAAATAAATAAATAAATAAAATTATTCCAAAATAAAAAGGTTAATTTTTTCTAAGTTAGTAAAGAAACAACTGATAAATAAATAGAAGGCACACCAGAACACCCAAACATACTTGTAAAAGTCTTCATAGAACCGTCCCTTGTGATCTTGTCGAATTGAGGCTCGGTTTATTTCAGGAAATTCATCTGAAATAGAGAAAATGGAATATGTAGTTTAGACCAAAAAGAGAAATTAACAGTTTTGTCAGCTTCCTCTTTTGGGTTAAAGATTTGCATCTCAACAAAATAAAGATAAATGTTTATGAACTTGGGTTTGGCTTTTTAAAAACCGAATGTCATTCTGTTGCCCAAGGCTGGAGCACAAAGGTATGACCATAGCTTATGGCAGCTTCAAACCTGGGCTCATGTGATCCTCCAACCTCAGTCTCCCAAGTAGCTGACTTCAGGGAAGAGTCCACACTCAACTAATTTTTTTTTTTTTCAGAGATGAAGTCTCACTACATTGCCCAGACTAGACTCAAACTCCCAGCCTCAAGTGATTTTCCTGCCTTGGCCTCCCAAAGTGCTAAGATTAAAGGTGTGAGTCCTTATACCCAGACTAGTAAAGATGCTTTTTAAATGAATCACAGCCCACACACTTCTTACAACAACAAATGGACTATGCTACTTTCTATTTTAGCCTGTCCTCATAGGGTGGGAAAGATAGGACAGTGCAAAGGGAAAGAAGATAAAAAAGAATGGTGGTGGTTGGGGTAGGCCCTACTGCTGTAGTTGGCAGGGGTGAGGAACTTGCAGCCTTCTGTTTTCAAGATCATTCTTTTTTAAGCACCAAAGGGGGCAAAAAAAGCTTCATCTTTCTTTGCTACACCCCTTTTAATAAAAGGACTTGTTACGTAAAATTTGGATTCAGTCAAAAGGCCACAAGTGTCCTTAAGGCCACAGATCCCACATCTTTGGAAAGCAAGCATAACAAAAATATAACTGTAGGAGGAAAAAAGAGTTACTCACCAATAGATTTTGCATCATAGAAAGTTCTGGAAAATAGGACCACTGTTACTTCATGACTACAATTCTTTTCCTAGGCATGAACAGAGAAAAACAGCATTCAAGTTTACTTCATATACTTCATTACCAAGCAGTGTGTATACATATAACAGTCTCAGTTCTAGGTGGCTCAGCAGCAATGTATAGTATTGGATAATTTCACGTAATTACAAGCTGTACAGTGCAGAGGAAAGAGTACTGCTGAGAATCAGAAGACCTGCATGGAGTTCTTGCTCTGAAACTTGCCATTATGTGACCTTGGGCAAGTTACCTAAAGTCCTAAGGATAGGCTTGGCACCCATAGCTCAGTAGTTAGGGCACCAGCCACATATACCGACATTGGTGGGTTCAAATCCAGCCCAGAGCCTGTTAAGCAACGATGACAACTACAACAACAAAAAAATAGCAAGATGTTTGTGGCGGGTGCCTACAGTCCCAGCTACTTGGGAGGCTGAAGCAAGAGAATCACATAAGCCCAAGAGTTTGAGGTTGCTGTAAGCTGTGATGCCATAGCTCTCTACTGAGGGTGACATAGTGAGACTGTCTCAAAATAAATAAATAAATAATAAAGTCCCAAGGATACAGAAAATCCAAGAAACAATAATAACAACAAAAACCCTGCAAATCACCAACAAGTAATGGTCTCCATCTCCCAGTTCTTGATGGGGCATGAAATTGACTAGCCCAGCATCAAGGCTCATAGTTGTACATGTTTACAGTTTTTAAAATTTCTTTAAAACTGCAGTTTGGGAATTAAGAACAGCACTCATAGTGGTGGATTTAAAAATTACAGGCACTCTCACACCATACCACTGCCATAGGATGAGGATTGGAAGCAGCTCAAGATATAAGGATACAGGGCGGCACCCATAGCTCAGTGGGTAGGGCGCCGGCCACATGCACCAGGGCTGTTGAGTTCAAACCCACCCCCAGCCTGCTAAAAATAAAAAAATAGCCAGGAGTTGTGGCAGGCGCCTGTAGTCCCACCTACTTGGGAGGCTGAAGCAAGAGAATCGCTTAAGCCCAAGAGTTTGAGGTTGCTGTGAGCTGTGATGCCACAGCTCTCTATTGAGGGCAACAAAGGTGGGATTGTCTCAATTAAAAAAAAAAAAGATGGCTCGGCGCCTGTGGCTCAAGTGGCTAAGGCGCCAGCCACATACACCCAAGGTGGCAGGTTCGAATCCCCAGCCCGGGCCCGCCAAACAACAATGATGGCTGCACCCAAAAAATAGCCGGGCGTTGTGGCGGACGCCTGTGGTCCCAGCTACTTGGGAGGCGGAGGCAGAAGACTCACTTGAGCCCAGGAGTTGGAGGTTGCTATGAGCTGTGATGCCATGGCACTCTACCCAGGGGGATAGCTTGAGGCTTCGTCTCAAAAAAAAAAAAAAATAAAGATATAAGAGTATAAGCCAAGGCCATAAATTATTAAATATCTTTTGACACCTAGGGACTAGCAAGAATAATGTTTTCATGAATCTGGATATAAACTTCCTCGAACGAGGGTGTTTTCATGTGAACATGAAATGTGGCTTGTACTAATGAGTCACTAAGCTCAGTTTCAGTTTCTCCTGGGTTTTTGAAGACAACAGACTGCATGGACCAACCTCCTCTATCCCAACCATACTTACTGACTAGACATTTCAGCATTCACTGTATAAGGAATACAATTTAATGCACATTATATGGCATCTTATATTTGATATATTTCAAGTGGACAGAAAAAGATAAACCATAGGCTCAGCGCCCATAGCACAGGGGTTATTGCGCCAGACACATGCACCAAGGCTGGCGGGTTTGAGCCCGGCCAAGGCCAGCTAAACAACAATGACAACTGCAACAAGAAAATAGCTGGGGAGTGGCGCCTGTGGCTCAAGGAGTAGGGCGGGTAGCGGGTTCAAGCCCGCCATATACTGTGGTTGGCAGGTTCAAGCCCAGCCCCAGCCAAAACTGTAAAAAAAAAAAAAAAAAAAAAAAAAGAAAAGAAAAGAAGGCTCAGCGCCTGTGGCTCAAGTGGCTAAGGCGCCAGCCACATACAACTAAGCTGGTGGGTTCAAATCCAGGCATTGTGGTGGGTGCCTACACTCCCAGCTACTTGGGAAGCTGAGGCAAGAGAATCGCTTAAGCCCAAGAGTTTGAAGTTGCTGTGAGCTGTGACACCATAGCACTCTACCAAAGGCAACATAGTAAGATTCTGTCTCAAAAAAAAAAAAAAAAAAAAAAAAAAAAAAAAAGCCATAATAGCAAGAGCAGAATCTAGGCAAGAGCAGGTCTTCATTAGCTACCAACTAGTTTAAATGAACTCCAATTGCTCCAGACTCTGCATCCTTATCTAATTTTTAAGAAATAATTTCTTTCCCAGGAGGCGCCTGTGGCTCAAGGAGTAGAGCAGCCAAAAACTGCAAAAGAAAAAAAGAAAGAAGGAAAGAAAAAATTTCTTTCCCTGTACCAATTATATTTATTAAACTGAAATATTTTTTGACTTTCACACAAATCAATTCCAGATTTGCAGTGCTGGGCAGCGCCTGTGGCTCAAAGGAGTAAGGCGCCAGCCCCATATG